CCATCTAAATTTATCCTTCCTGCCAGTTTTAAGGAGTTCGCAGTCACCGGCGCTGCTGCGACAGACCAGGTGAGAAAGTGCAGGATGGACAGAACCATCCGGAGACAAGTCACTTCCAACCAGAACCAAGAAACTGTTGGAGTTTTCAGCCTCGTTGGTGCTCCAGGGGCAGCACTTCCTTCTGGACACGGCCAGAAACCTCGGCTCATGCTCTGCCACCACACGGAATCAGCCCTTGAGATGCAAAGATTTTAGAACGAAAAAATCTTGGTTTTGCTCCAATATTCCAGTTCAAAGGAAACCAGCGCTCCTGTTCAATTTAAATTTTATATAAGGACTATACAAACACGCTGCTTGCTCTGAGCTGCACGACCTGAAACAGCCCCTTCTGTCTTTGGGTACCGGTTGAGGAACCGAGAGAAACAAGGTTTTTGGTGTTAAACCTACTTCCTTTTCCTACACATTATTTTTACAGCAGTACTTTTCCTTGGCGCTCACCAGATTTACAGATTTACCTGCGAGCCGACGATTAAGCCCCAGAACGTCGGATGCACCAGGAACAAGATGCCAAGAGAGGCAAAGCGTCCGGATCCAGCAGTGAAATCCTGCCACAAGCACCTCAGGCAGCCTGCAGGGCCGCTTTTGGAAATGAAGATCACCGAGTCATTTGCATATAAGAAAATACCCCTTTTCCTGGCTTGATTTCAAACAAAACTTCAGACAAATAACGAAACTGGAGTTTTTCTGGGGCCTTTCAACACCCACCCCAAAGCCCCGTCCTTTTTTTTCTTTAGTGCATCCATTCCGAGACATCTCTGAGTCGTTTCTGGCTCCGTGGAAACGAAAACAAATCGCTGCTGTCAGGATTGCACTTTTTTCAGGAATTGGTAACTAAATGTTTGCAAGCCAGCTGGTATTTTCTAAACTGGCTTCGTTGCTGACACAAAAGCAGTCACACAGAGATTCAGACAGACGTCTGGCCTCTCCTGTACATGTTCACAAGAGCTGGTTTCACCCCCCTGGGTGTACAACACAACTTCAGACTCAACAGAAGCAAGGTGCTCACCTACATTGATTCCAGCAGCAAAAAAAAAAAACCACAAAAAAACAACTGAGAACTAAAATTAATTTGCAAATCACCTCAGTTTCACTCCTGGAGGGTATGATGCATTTTCCTGCCTTCCCCACAGTATGTAAAGATGTGCTGATTCTCATCAGCATAGAAATTTATAGAGAGCAAGAAAAGGAACTGCAGATTTCGTTCCACTCGAGCCAGGTTGCGTCACGGCCACTGGAGTGCCCTGAGGAAGGCAGGGAAGGGGACGCACGCGCTTGCGGGACTGGGATGGGAGAACCAAGAGTTTTTTGGGGCTTTTTGAGAGTTACAGCCAGGACAACATTAACCAGTCTAAGCACACCTCCCCCAGTAAGATATTCTTTGCATTCAAAATTTAATAGATAATATAAATGTGATATATAGAGATAATATGGAAATAAGTTATTTAAATACGGAAAAAAGTTATTTAAATTACCTCAACAAATCAATTCTCAGTCACTGATACTGTCAACGCTCTTGTGATTTATTTTTTTTTAATATCTCACTGTGTTAGAACCTCACAGCTACCATCCCCAGTATTTAAAAAAATATAATAATCAAGTTTTCTTTACAAGCTTAATTAGAGGGGCACCAGGGCTTGCTGGTGTGCATTACTGAAAGAATCCCATAGAAACTACTTGCTCTTCCACAGTACCACTTCTATACCAAGCTTTGGGAAACCACTTTAGGATGGCAAATTAACTCTCCCCTGAAAAAAAAGCAAAGTTTGGCTTAAAATTTTGTTTCTGGAGAAGTATAGAATCATAGAATTCTATGGTTAGGGCTGGAAGGGACCTTCAAAGGTCATCTAGTCCAGCCCCCCTGCAAGGAACAGGGATATCTCCAACTAGATCAGGTTGCTCAGGGCCTCGTCCAACCTGGCCTTGAACGTCTCCAGGGATGGAGCATCCACCACCTCTCTGAGCAACCTGTTCCAGTGTTCTACAACTCTCATGGTAAAAAAATTTTTTCCTAATATCCAACCTGAATCTACCTCCCTCTATTTTAAAACCAGTAGTGAAAAGCCAGCCCATGGTACCAGCACCAAGTCGTCCAACCTATTAAAAAAAAACCCCAAAACTTCCTTTTCTATCCTGAAGACAGCATCAGCTCTTTCACCTCCTGTCCCCAAGGCCCCGGCTCTCCCCAGCATCCGTGGGCAGGAGGAGGCTGTGCTGGAGAGCGGGGCTGGGTCTGCGGGGCTGGCTCAGCCCGGGCAGTGCCCGCTGCCCCGAGGTGCAGCGCGGGAACCCTCCGGCTGAGCCAGGAGAGCACGTGGATGAACAGGCAGCAAAACATGTGCCCTTTGAAAGGCAGGGGAAAAAAAAAAAAAGATGCTGGAGAAGCCTTCAGATGAGCCCCAGAGGGAAAAATAAACTACAGACCTAAACCAGATGAAGCTCCTGGTACCTTTAATGGGAATAAATGGGCTGTTCCCACCCGACGCCCGCGCCCTTACCAAGGTGTGCCGCTTCATGTGCTCCCGGCGCGTGAACTTCTTCCCGCAGATCTCACAGGGATAGGGTCTCTCTCCCGTGTGGGACCGCATGTGTCTCTTCAGGATGCACTGGTGCATGGCTGAAAAACTGCAGTACGGGCACTTGAACTTCTTCCTGATGACCGTGAACTCGTTGACTGCAAGAGAGCAAACAAACCGCGCAGGTTATTTCCGAACGTCCCAAAGTGGTCAGTCTTCTCGTTTGCTACTTCACTGTTAAATTAGTTCGCTGAGAAATCCCTGTCACCTCTTAACCATCTACTTTTTTTTTTTAATCCTTATGCTAGACTATTGCACTTCTAATCCTTACACTAGATTATGGCACTTTTAATCCTTACACTGTATTACGGCACTTGCACTACATCATTAAAGCCAAGAACTTCAAGTACCTTCATCAGAGCAGCTTTTGGACGAGCCAGACACAAACATTTGGCACCAGCCTGTAACACACACGGCCTGCTGCTTGCTACATGGCAAATCGAGAGGGCTGATAATCTGCTGTAATTCTGATTTATTCCAACGAATTATCCTAAATACCAAGATGTAAAATTCTAACACTTTTATTTCTGGAAGAAGTTGCCAGCTGTGAACAGAAGACCACGAACGTAACATGCCGACGGCGTCCACGTGCTTTTAGTTTTATTGACGGGGCGATGCAAGAGCAAGGTCACACACTCCAGGAGCATTCCAAAGAACATGCAAAGACTGAAGTTCACCCAGAAGAAACAGGACAGTTGTGACAACCATACACTACATTACCCAACTCAACCAGTATTACCATCGCAGAAGGGATACAGGAAGATGAAGGGATGCGTAACGTCAAATTACAGCACGACCCTCGCAAGCCTCCTTACAAGATGACTGTATGTAGCCATTGATGGATTTTTTTTTTTCCTTTTTCTGTCCCTCCCAATTGTATTTTGCTGAACTAGAAGAGAGAGGAATTCTTTGAAGCCGTTCTGACATTGTTGAGTCTGTTCTTCTTGTCATCTCCTTGGAAGCGTGCTGAAAGCGGGCCCAGGGGACGCGTTCAGTACTGACAGCCCCAGGGTCTCGTTTGCCAGGAGAAGGCACACGGCAGCTGCGTGGGAATTTCCTGCTCCGAACCCAGTGAAAGTGCAAAACTTCACACAGCAGGTGAAAGCAGAGTATTTGCTACTCCCTGAAGACATCCACCCACTATAAACTCGGAAGCGACCGTCCACGTGGGTATGATTTTAAACCTCCACCTTCTAATAATTCTATTGCTTTCCATTAGTATGCTAATTTTCACCCACTTTTCTAATTATTGGTATTTCTCAAAGCAAGATATTGTTTACATTCCGAGGAGAGAGAGAGAAAACGAAGGCAAGTTCTCGTTCATCACCTGAAGGATGCTGTCGTGGATGTAAACGGCTCTGGGGAAAGGAAATCAGCCTCTGCAGGAGAGTTCAGGGGAAAAGGGAAATCCCAGACCTACTCCACAGCTCCTGACATACTGAGCACTTTGCAATGTTTTTAGATGCTTATTGGAACGTTGCCTCCTACAAACACCCTACGAGATGAACACACTCAGTACGCTGCAGGTAATGCCCTGGGAGCTACACCACCCACTGAAAACAGCTACTTAAAAATGGCCTTTTTTTAAGCAAGTCCTGTGTACACAGTGGTGTTTAACGCCCAATTTGTGGGCTTTTTTTTTTTCCCCCCTTCTGTTTTTAAAATTTGTCTTGTCTTTGCAACACAGATAAACCAACGTGAACAGTAACTACTTTTGTCACTGATGTAAACCCAGAGTAAACTGCACCCTGATGCTATTAAGAGACATCTTCAAACAAGGTAACACCACTCTCCAGAACCAGAACAAACGTTTCAACACAAGCTCATCTTGCAAAAGTATTCCAGGAAGATTTTTATTGTTCTAACGCAGACTAAAAGCATGGTTCAAGATCTTACAAGCTGCCACGATATGAATTTTGGCTCAGCATTTGTTTTGGCTATGTGGAATTAAACATATCCTCCACACCGGTAGCTTTGTGGAAAAAATGCTCCCCTTGATCAGCAGTTTGAAGTGGATCTAATAATCATAGAATCATGGAATGGTTTGGGTTGGAAGGGAACTCAAAGACCATCCAGTTCCAACCCCCCTGCCATGGGCAGGGACACCCTCCACTACACCAGGTTGCCCAAAGCCCCATCCAACCTGGCCTGGAACACTTCCTCATGCTCCTAACTTGGTGCTTTGCGCTGCTCAGCAACCATGGTAGTCCACCCTACAGGTGCTTTTTTTTGTGGTTTGGTGTTTTTTTTTCCCCCAGCACATTTATAAAGTTGGCAAGAGAATTTTCTAGTCCGAGGTAAAACCAAAAAAACCCAAGAGCCTACTCACCTGGGCCATGGCTGCAGTGCTGGTGACGGGGCAAGCGAACGCTAAGAATATTTTATTCCCCCATCAGTGAAGATGACTCGCTGCCATCAGGCAGAAGTCTGAGTGACTACGTGCACCTGCGCTGGCACTGCTTTGGGCACCTCCCCGAGGAGGTAACTGCATCGTGGCACGATGCCCAGAGCCCTGCACAAGCTGTTGTTGATAACCCAACAGCCCAGCCCTTCTCCTGCCCCACGCCAAACTGCTGATTGACAAGATTTTTTTTTCAGAAACAAGCAGACTATGAAAACTCTTTCATATTACAGAAAAAGTATTTTTCACTTAGTCTTCTCCTTTGGATTTGATGTTCCCCCATCTGTACCATCAGAGGCAAGGAGCCCAATTTTTTCTACAGGAAAAGTCTTAAGCATCAATTTTATGATACAAAGCTATTTATGATAAACACGTTTCCAGTTTGATCCTGTAACTGCTCGAGCATTAGTGATTGGCCACACACACCCCCATTCCCCAGGAACACTATAAACCTATTACTAGGGAGTCCAGACAAGGTAAGGAAGCCATAAGCTGATCAAGGGAAGTCAGCAGGGGACATGTAACCTCCCTCCTCCAGTCCAAGGCCATGTCCAGTGCTAAAAGAACACAAACACGCTACTTGTGCAGACCACAGCTACCAGGATGAGCTGCTTTGCAAGTCAGGATTAACCACCTTGGGAAAAAAAACTGACACGTAGATCCTCACAGCAACCAGATCCCAAGATTAGGAAGCAAAAGTGCTTCAGAGAAGAGAATACCACAAAATCCCTTATTTCCTCCATAGAGTCACAGAATCACAGAATGGGTTGGGTTGGAAGGGACCTCAAAGATCATCCAGTTCCAACCCCCCTGCCATGGGCAGAGACACCCTCCACTACACCAGGTTGCCCAAAGCCTCATCCAACCTGGGCTTGAACACTTCCAGGGATGGGGCAGCCACAGCTTCTCTGGGCAACTTCTCCATCGCCAGATTGTACCTGATCCCATCATTTCCTGAACGACCGGGCGCCTCCTCTTGTTTACGGTCCATCCCGTCCCTCCGCGGCACGGCGGAGCTCCCGGAGAAGCCAAATGGCAACTCCAAAGGTGAAGTGCACAACCTGCGCCGCGGGCACGCTACTGCCACACGCAGACAGCCCTGTGATCCCAGCACACCAACGTCTTCCCAACACACCAACGTCTTCCCAACAGCAGCTTTGTAACGCGCTCCAATTTCAAGACCCCTCCTGCTTACTTTTGCCAGTATTCATCTTAAATCCCTCGAGAATAACATTCGCAGCTTCTAGCATGCTTGTATTTAAAAATCGTCACAGAACACTTTTTACAGCTATAGTTTTATTGAAAACTATTTTTTTTTTAACCAAATAGCCATGTATTTAGTTCTTGTATCTACAAAAGTAAACACCTGAAAAATCACAGCATTGTTAGAAAAATAACTGTATTGCAGAGCTAACACTTTCACAGTACTGTGAAATATATGCACCCACAAGCACATCTATTTAATGAACAACATACCAACTCTGGTATAGGTTTAATCTTTTGTCTAAGTGACAATATTTTAGAGAGCTTACGTATAGCAGCATTCATGTCCTCAGAAACGATCTTTAACCAGATCACGAGACCATGAGCAGTAGCTCCACACATAACCAGTAGCTCCACACATAACCAGTAGCTCCACACAACTATAGGATGAATAGCACCAAGAAAGGGAGAATGGGATACAAACAGTGCCGTAGTAAAAATCTAAGTGCTTAACTTCACTCAAATGTTTACAGAAGATGTGTGTTTTTAAACCCAACACAATAATGCTGGGAAAAAAGCCCTTGGTGCTGTCACCTCGAGTAAATTCACTTATTAAATGAAACGGGCTCCTACATCCCTGACTTGAGAGAAGGGAAAGCACTAGTGATTTACAGCCTGCCAGACCTGCTTTGGATTAACTCTGTAACCAAGACGTGGCTAATAATCCCTGAAATACTACACTCATTTGCTTATTACCAAGAATTCACAAACTTTAAGACAATTCTTGTCCACTTCATCCTCATTATATTTAAGGTTACAAATACTAAGATGCAATTTAACCATCGGCATTACAATTCCCATCATCTTCCCACGCTGTTTCCTAACAGGAAAATCCTACTTTTAAAAAGTTTTCTACAGAAACTCTGCAAACCTCTGCTGCGTTATACTCCATGGTTCTCAACGTCTAAAAAACCCTAGTCCCGATCCCGAAGGAGTCGGGAAATTCTCGGTGCTGAAGTCTGGAAGCGCTCTGATGTACACGCCAAGGAAAATGCTACTTCAACCTCTACTAGAGAGAGTTGACTAGAAAAATCATTCCACGTTGAATGGAATATTCATTTTTCTCAAACATGAGAAAAAATGAACAAACACGAAGCGTTGCATCTATTATCACGTGAACGAAGCCTTTTAAGATTTGCTGAAATTACTTTTCCTGACATCTTTTCCGACTCAGACAACTACCATGCTGCTCCCAAATTTCCAGATAAGACTCATTTTGGTCACCAGTTCCTCTCTGGCTCAGCTTTCTCCTTCCTCCCTCACTGGTTATAAACTATGAGGCAATCGAAGTGGCACCTGCAACAAAGGGGAGCTGACAGGCTACAAACGAGACACGTTCACAGACTGTGGTCACCCACAGTGCCAAAGAAGTCAACGGGAACAAGAGCGGAAAACAATGGATGTGACTTTGCAAAAATCATAGAATCATAGAAT